CTAGGACTACAGATTTGTGCCACCATGCCTAGATAATTTTTGCATTTTTTTGCAGAGATAGGGTTTCACCACGTTGCCAAGGCTGGCCTTGAATGCCTAGGCTCAAGTTATCTGTCACCCTCGGCCTCCTAAAGTGCTGGGATTACAGGTGTGAGCCACTGTATCCAGCCTCCAAAAGTTTTTATAAGAAATCTCACAGATTTCCAGAATGCCAGAAATGAGAAGAGTCTATAAGAGCAATTATCATGGCTTGTGCTTGTCAATAAAGTAGCAAGTCAATCTTTAAATGGTCATAGCCAAACAAACGACCAGTTGCTTTATTGTTCATATTTTCTAGCTGTCAACACATTAAGAACACTTGAAAATATGCACAGTCACCTACTAATGAACTAGTACTTTAGATGCAGTACTTCAGTTACATCAGTGGTTCTCAACTAACTGTGATTTTGACCCTGAAGTATGTTTGGCAGTGTCTAGAGGAATTTTTGGTTGTCATACCTTGGGGGAGCTACTGGTACCTACTGAGTGGACTTAGGGATGTTGCTAATCCTCCAAAAGACTAAACAGTCTCCCACAAAACAGAACTATTAAGTCCAAATGTCAACTTTAAGAAATCATGAACTACATTAATGGTCTCATCCATTTCCAGCTAAAATCTGCAGCTTTATCTCAGAACATTTTGCTGAAGCTGTTTTTTTTCCTCATGTCACAAGATATAAATTTGATTTGTAATTATAAGAATTTAGCTAAGCAATATAATCTTAGGAAAAGCAGAGGTTTAGAATGTTTGATAGAAAACTGACAAGAGAAGGAAACACAAATAGGAGATATAAATCAATTCAGAGCTATATATAACCAAAATTTAAATGAAGATCTTGTTAGATATCTAGACCTCTCCAACTTAAAATTTGCAACGTAAACAGTACAGGATGTCACTAAAAATTAAGGGGCATAGCAGAGGTACTTTCTAGATTCATGTCAAGTAAATATCTTTTCTCGAAGACAAAATTTTAAAAAAACAACAATTTAATTTTATGTTCTTGTTTCAACTTTCAGCATTATGTTTATCTTTACTGGCAATGAAGTCTTCTCTGGAAGTAGGTGAGTATATAAACTATTTGTTCTTCCTAGTACTCCATCAAGTAATAATAACAACAACAACAAAAAAAGCTGCATTCCAGTAGTTTATTTTTCAAATTTGCTAGCATTATGAAGCACTTTAAAAATAATGTTATTTAGAATACTTTCAATTCCAAGTCAGACTGTCCCAGAGAATGCAAATTTGCTATATTTATTACTTCTCCTTAACCTGTTAATTTTTCGGAAGTTTAAAAAAAAGGGGGGCCTACAAAAAGAAGGACTTTACATTAAAATCTGAATACTGATCCCTCAATCAGTTTAAAAGAAAAATCACGTTTCACAAAATAAATACACTGGAGAAACTATAATAGTAATAACCTTTATTTAAAATAGTTTTTAATTTAGGAAAGCTCATTTTAGATGAGTTTCCAACTAATTATTAGAGTCAGAAACAAAGAAAATAAAATCAGAGAAAATCCCCTGTAGAAAAAATACACAAGGAACATTTCTACATGTGAAAAAACAGTAAACAGTGCTAACATCCAAGTTATTAGTCTCAATTCCACGTCTCCTAGTGAACACCACTATCAACCTTGAGATCTGATTTGTTCTTGTCATTCTTCACTGAGTAGATGAAATATGTTAAGGTGTCTTTTTCATTCACTGGAATAGACCTAAAGTGGCAACCAACTATCTATAGAGAAAAAAAAAAATTAAGGAAATTAAATTTTAGAGATAACAGGTTTCATAAACTAGGTAAAAAATATTGTTTCATCAAAAGAAAAAGTGCTATGTGATAAGGGCTATTTCCTTTAAAAATTATATTTAGCAACATACCAACAGGACAAAAAGCATTTAAGAATAAAATGTTATGAACAAGAGATAGTATGATTTCAAAGGATCCTTTGGCCTACTCAATATATACATTGATTAGAAAATATATTTTCCTTTTTATTTATTTTAAATTTTATAATTGGGCTGGGTATGGTGGCTTATGCCTATAAACCCAGCACTTTGGGAGGCTGAGGTGTGTGGATCACTTGAGCCCAGGAGTTCAAGACCAGCCTGAGCAACATGACGAAACCCCATCTCTACCAAAAAAAAAAAAAAAAAAAAAAAAAAAATTAGCTAGGCATGGTAGTGTAGACCTGTAATCCCAGCTATTTGGAAGGCTGTGGGCAGGAGGATTGCTTGAAGTCAGACGGTGGAGGTTGCAGTGAGTCAAGATCATACCACTGAACTCCAGCCTGGGTGACAGAGCAAGATTCTGTCTCAAAAATAAATACATAAATAAAATAAAAATCATAAATTTTACAGTTGGAATCTAGAGTAGGGAATAAATATTTTTACTTTTAAACTTTAAATGAGTAAAATAGAAGTAAGAGACCACATGCATCATTAAACCTGCAATGGTTTCGAACCTACTGATAGAAAAAGAAGTATGAAGCTGAAAACTTTCAGTAGTAAAGAAACAAACAATAACATATAAATTGTTTGCTGCAAATTATATTCATTCATTCATACATTGGCAACCTTCTTTGGTTAAGGTTCCTTGAAAATTTTTCTGAATAAAAATTAGGAATGGAAAATGAGAAAGAGCTAAATAACATATAAATGAATATAATTTGCAGCAAACAATTTATGTGTTAACATAACATATATAACATAAGGGAAGGAAGGATGTTTACCTCTTCCTTGCCTTTTCATTGTGCTAACATAACACACATACTGCAATTACTAATAGAAGAATAATAGACTCACCTGGGGGGCTGACATGCATATTTAGATTCCAGAAAATAAAATTTCTTAAGAAAAAAGTTTATCCACATGATAATTAAGACACTTAAGACTTAGTCATACAACCCTGGAATCCCTTAAAACAGGGGTTCCCAACATTTTTGGCACCAGAGATCGATTTCATGGAAGGCAATTTTTGTAGATTCGGGGTAGAGGGGTTGGTTTTGGTATGAAATTGTTCCACCTCAGATCATCAGGCATTAGATTCTTATAACAAGCATACAACCTAGTTCTCTCTCATGTGCACTTCACAAGAGGCTTTGGTCCCCCAGGAGAATCTAACGCTGTGGCTGATCTGACAGGAGGTGGAGCTCGGTCAGTAATGCTTGCTAGCCAGTGTTCACCTCCCACTCTACCCACCCTTTGCTAACAGGCCACAGCCCAGTACCAGTCCATGGCCCTGGGGGTGGGGACCCCTGTCTTAAAATACATGTGCTACATCTGCACAGTCCTTAACCTGTCAATATCTGCATTTCTGATTAAATAAAATATAACACTCATGGCTATCTCTTAATTATTTAAAAAAATAGCTCTAGAAATAATACAACTGTTCTTATAAGGTTACTTTATCAAAAATTTCAGGTTTAATTTATACTTAAATATAACATTTAGAATAATCAGTTCTTTGGTTCTTCATTGTCTCAAAACAGAGGTGCCTTCACTCCATTAGTAGCTTTTGAAATATTTTATCATGGTGGGCAATACCTACATTTATGTTACATTAATGTATTATACAACCCGAAAAGATCTTAATCTTTCAAATCAAAAGTAAAGAAAAATTAGATCTGTGTTGCCTAATAAAGAAATACAGAAGAAATTTTAGCTAAATAGTTAATATGTTGGATTTTAACAATGTTAAAAAACATTCTCCCAAATAAACATATTTTCTATTCATATTTCATTTTATTCAATATGCACATTTTAGAAAATGTTGGGTAACTACTAAATCCATGCAAAGAACATGAGAAAACTGATTGATAGATCTACACTTTTATTTTGTCTAGAAGGCTAAAATTTTTTTTTAAGAGAGTGTTACTATGTTGCCCATGGTGACTCAAACTCCTAGGCTCAATCAATCCTCCTAAGTAGCTGCAAGTAAAAATTTTTATTTTATATATGGTTAAAGTATAAATCTATAAATATCTTAATAAGATTCATAGATTTCTTGGTTCTACTGTATCCTGAGAACATATACACACTCCATTAACTTTTCACAATTCATTGACTGACCAGAAGTCCTCTATCAAAGCAAACTACAAGTAAAAGCTTGGGTAAAAGAAAAGCTTTTGCCTCTTCTAGATGTGAAGAAAACATGGATGTCTCTAATAAAACTAACATCAACAGGACAAATTTTGAAATACGTAAGTCAGCGAATTATAAAAATACTGTTTAGGGGCTGATTTGTAGACATATTCCACCACTTTAAAAAATAAATTCTAATAAGGACATTTATGCTTGTTAATTAAATTTTATTATGCCTCAATTAGGTGCTTAAATGGTTTACTGGTTAAATGGAATTTTAAACTAATAGATTTCTAAAGTGAGGATTTAAAAAACTTTCATTCAACATTTTGAGGGCCAGGAATGGTGGCTCACACCTATAATCCCAGCACTTTTGTAGGCTGAGGTGGGCAGATTACTTGAAGTCAGGAGTTTGAGACAAGTCAGGCCAACAGGGTGAAACCCCATCTCTACTAAAAATATTATACAAAAATTAGCCTGGTGTGGTGGTGTACACCTGAAGTCCCAGCTAGTTGGGAGGCTGAGGCAGGAGAACTGTTTGAACCTAGCAGGCAGAGGTTGTAGTGAGCCAAGATCATGCTACTGCACTCTAGCCTGGGAGACAGAGCAAGACTCTGTTCTCAAAAAACAAACAAACAACACATTTTCAAAGCCGGTATCAAAAGGTGTTGTACACAATCTACTGAGCAGTCATTAAAAAAGGAATTTCCCAAGTGGCAGACAAACATTTCTAGACAACTAGATTCTTCCACAATAGATTTTTTAACTTTGTTCTTTCTACCTAAAATGTACCATTACATATACTACGTTAATACTTTCATTAGCATTTAATAACCTCTTGGTTGAGCAGATAGTTTAAACAGTTTGAAACTCATATATACCTCGACAAGTTGTGCTTTATTAAGTCCTGGTCTGGTTGGTAGCTTGAAGTGTCTTTTGTATCTCCTAAGTGTATTCACTTGTAATTGGTATAAATCAACCTAGAAAAAAATTAACATGCATAAATTAGTTCATACAATTTGTTGAAAATTTATCATTGATATGTATAACAAACATTTTAACTTCAGCACAATAAAAATTTAATTCCATTACCAAAAAATCCTTTTACATAATCAAACCTATAAATTATTAAACACTTTAATCTTTTGGGGATAAATATAAACAGGTCAAAAAAAAAAGTTCCATGACAGCAGAGCTGTAAAAATTGTCAATTTAAAACAATTCCAACTGTGCAAATGCATGTCAACTGGCTACATTTAATTTTGCTTTTATTTTCAGATTTCTCAAATGTTCTAAACACTTAAAAGACTGTTCATATCTTTTTGTAAAGGTTTCAGAATGCACTACTTAGGATTTATATTAAGCATAAAAAACTTCCATCTACCTCTGGGGTATCAATATCTTGAACAGGTGAATCACCTCCATCATCATCACTCCCTTTTCTCTTTCTTCTGTTTCGAACACTCTGAATTAAGTTTTTATGATAATCACATATATAAAGATGCCTTGCCTGAAACAGAAAAGTTTCACACACTGCTTATGATTACAGTAAAATATGTCTATGTATTAATAAAACACATATACCACAGAGAGTTATTAAAAATAAAGACAGTCAAGATGGGTCATTGTTAAGACTATGGAATATTTCTACTTTTAAATCCTATGCCCTGTTAAAACATAAGATGTCTGGAATACTGTTAAAAGGAAGGCAAATGGGGAAGGAGGGGTCGGTGCCATTTGGAGAAGGGAGGGAGGGAGGGGAGAATGAGAAATCCCAACCCTCTGGGTTTTGTCATCAAATTGCAGTGAGGGGCCAGTCGCGGTGGCTCACCCCTGAAATCCCAGCACTTTCGGAGAGCTGAGGCAGGTGGCCCACTTGAACTCAGAAGTTCTACACAAGCCAGGCCAACATGGTGAAATCCCGTTTCTACTAAAAATACAAAAAATTAGCCGGGTATGGTGGCACAAGCCTGTAATCCCAGCTACTCAGGAGACTATGGCAGGAGAATCGCTGGAACCTGGTGGGTGGAGATTGCAGTGAGCCGAGATCGCGCCACCGCACTCGAGCCTAAATAACAGAGTGAGGCTTTGTCTCTAAATAAATAAATTGCAGTGAGGGTGACTTGAATTAGTTCATGTTGAATTTTTAACTGGTAAGGGGAAAGATGATGTTGCCCACACTCTCGCTACTTGCTAGTACTTTCTCTACTTAAAGAAGAGCATATTTTAGTAATATAATGTATGCTTTCTAGTCTTTCTAACTTAACACCCAAATTATATTCCAGATACAAAACCATCCGTTTTTACAAATGAGCCATCGATTTCATATCTTAACTATATTTAAATTTCAGTTATAGACTTTTCTGAATATTAAATCAATGTATTTATCTGTAACACATTTTTCCAAAGCAATGTGAAATTATGCAAGTTCACCTGAAAAGTTTCTCCTGGATAACACTGAAGAACTGTTTAAACAGGCAAAAAGCGTCACAAATCAACTTTTCAAAAACTTTAATTACATATACTCCTACCAGCTGTAGACTAACATTTTAAACAAACAAGGACTGAGCGAACAGGCTTTTCAATTTACTTCTGGGCTAAGCGCAAGATAAAAATATGCAGGACTTGTGCTAGGTTCTTGAAACCGTGTTATTCATTCACCGACAGGCAGAGTTCCCCAGAGTAGCAACGGTTGTTTCTAAAAAAAAAAAAAAACTCATAGATGGTCAAACGAACGGAAGTGCAAAAGGAGGAAAGAAGAAATCCTGATGGCTGCCAAGGGGATGGCAAAACCGCAGAGGCTACGTGCTCCCCACCATCGGAGGATCTGCCCTGGGAGCTGACAGCGCAAACGCCGTTTACGAGCCCGGCGCCCCGCCAGGCAGCGGGTGAGTTCTGCTTCCCTCTCACTCCGCTCGGAATCAGGAGGCGAACACCGAAAAGAACAAGATATTCCTTGCTCGCGAAGGTCCTCCACTTAGCCCTAGGCCAGGGGAGTTAGTGCTGCCTCGGGCCAAACACCAGCTCGGGCAGCAAAACAAAGGCGCCTCCATTCCACCAGAGGCTGCCGGGCTGCAAGAAAACTACTCTGGGCCCTCGGTGCCGCGGTCCCCTTTGTTCCGTGTCCCGATCGCAGAGGAGGAGGAAGAGGGAAGACAGCGCGCGGGAGACACACAGGCAGCGGGAGGCTGGGAAAGAGGGGAACGCCGCGTGTGTGTTGTGCCTGTGGGGGAGGCGGTCGGAGTTGCAGCGACTTTGTTGTTTGCCTCCAACCATAGACTCCACGAGTCCGCACTGCAGCCAGGTCTGGGGGACCCAGCCGACAACCCGAGCCTTTACCGGGCTCCTGACGCCCGGGGGCTGGGGGAGGCAGGGCGGTCCCTCCGTGACTTACGCTCTTATCCAGCTCGATCTTCACCTTCTTCTGGGAGATGCTCTTCTGGATCCTCTTGCTGAAGCTGGCGTTGCCCGCCGCCCGGCCGCACCGCTCGCCATCCTCCCGCAGGCAGCACAGTTGCCCGGGGCCCGGCCCAGCCGCCCCCGGGGGCCCCGCCGCTGACACCGCCCCCGCGCCAGGCACCTCGGCCCCGGCGCCAGCGCCGGTCCCGTTCCCCGCTGAGGCGGCGGCAGCCGCAGCAGCGACCACTGCGGCCACTGCGGCGGCCGCATCCCCACCGCGACTCATCTCGTCAGGCGTGAAGCCGTTCATGTCTCCGAGCTTGGAGCGCCGACGCTGACAGAAATCCCCACTCTCCTGGCCGCTCCGCCTCTCTCCGCTCCAGCAGCAACAATTCACTCTGCACACCAAGTTAGACAGCTGCACTGCCAAGCACCAAGTGTCCCGGGCCTGCTGGTCTCCGCTGGCACCGGAACAGTGGACACTGCTGAGGGCTGGGACGCGGATTCGAGCGTCTCCTGGAGCTGGGACCCCGTTCACTGTCACATGGGGACTTCAGCAGTTGGACCGCCTCGCCTCCGCCTCCCTCTGGCCCTGGGGCCTGCGCAGGCGCGAAGCGCCCCCTCACGTCCCGCCCCTTTCTTTCTGCTGCGTGGCACCACGGGAATTGTAGTTCTGTGCTACGGAATCAACCTGAGCTCCGCCCTGACCCTGAGCCCTGCGGGATGGAGGAACTACTAATCCTAGCATGCATAGCGCGGCGACGGACCGACTTTTTATTTTTTTCTTAGTACCGGGAAAACAGGAGCGTCTGATTGGGGTTTGCAGTGTTTTCTCTCTGTTTCTCTCGGGAAGTCGGGCTGTGTGTATAGCTCCTTAGATTTGGTAGAATTGGTATTCAGAGAAGTCACTCGACTCCTGAGGCGAAGCATAAAAGGATGGGAGTGGTGTGGGAAGTAAGTGAGCGTGTGGGGAAAAAAAGTTTTGAGACTGTTTCGCTTTCGTGGAGACAGTTTTTAGTGTGACCGCGCTTTTGTGGGAAACCCAAACCAAGGAGTACGCAGGAGAATCGGCGCTTTTCGGGTCCTGGAGGTCCCGCCGCTAACACCCCGGGTAGACCAACTATTGAGGCAGCAAATTAATAGGGCACCTACTGGGAGGAAAACACCCATCCAGACCTCTCAACTGTGACAGGCCCTCCTTCCAAAGCCTCAGTGGGGGACCGTTTCAAAATCCTTGCAAGTTCCTGCAAGGGACATATTTTATTCTTGGGCGCACAGAGTTGGCCGCTTCCTGAGGTGGAGTACGGACCAGCTGACAACAGGACTCCTTTTCGCCTCCACGGCCAACCTTTTCCACTTCTCCCAAACGGTTGTGCGGAAGGGCGGAGTCATATCATTTAAAAGGAGACTGGAACCCCACCAATACAAAGGCTGCTTGACTGTTCCCAGAAACTTCCCTACATGAGGTCCACCGGGCGCAGGGGGTGGAAGGCGCATTTCCTGGGTCCTGGCAGGCGCGCGCGGCCCTGTGAGTGCTGCAGGCGTGTGTATGTGTTCTCGGGCGCGCGCGTGCGTACGTGTGTCTCTTCGAGAGGGCCGGCGGGGACGTGCTTGTGGAGGATGGGGGAGAAGGATGGGCGTAGCTAATATGAAAGCTGCACCTTTACTAGTTACCACGCATCATTATTTATCAGTATATTCTGCTTAAATAAAAATACGTTTAAAAATGTTTTTTTAGGCAGTAGGTTGCTTTTTTTTTTTTTTTTTGCAAGTTCTTTTAGTGAATACATTTAGTGATAAATGATTTTTTTTTAATTTTGGGACAGTCTCGCCCTGTCGCCCAGGATGGAGTGCAGTGCAGTGGCGCAATTCTACAACCTCCGATCACTACAACCTCCCCCGTCTGGGGTTCAAGAGATTCTCCTGCCTCAGCCTTCCGAGTAGCTGGGATTACAGGCGTGCGCCAACTTGCCCAGACGATCCTTTTAAACGCAAAATGCCATCGACGCAGAAATTCAAAGGTATCCATTGCGTCTGTGCACTTGAGTTCTAGGATATGGCAAAGAAAAACAATTTAAATACTACATAAATTCAGTAGGAACAAGATGCTGACTGATAAGTACTCTGTGTATCTCCTTAAGCTGCGCTTTCCAGTAGGCTGTTCTCTAGCCATATGTGGCTACTCAGGACTTGAAATGTGGTTGACACGGAAAAATGGAATCATTAATTGAATTTGAATTAAACTAAAAACAAAACAAAACCCTGATGCCTCATTCAATTGTTGGAACACTTTTAAGTATGTTTGCAACAAGATATATGAATCTGTTTTTCAAACTTAAATTTTATGAACTCTAACTTTAGCATGTGAATTGAGATGTGCTGTAAGTATATATCAGCTGGATTTTTCTTTCTGGACTTAGTACAAGAAATTTTCAAAAAGAATATTGAATTGCACATTAAAAATTTTATATATGTTTAAATATTTTGGATATAATGGGTTAAAAAAATTAAAATAAATTGTACCTGTTGCATTAGATAACGCTGGCTGAAAGTGTTACAACACAGGCGGGAGCTGTGGCTCTCACCTGTAATCCCAGCACTTTGGGAGACCGAGGCGGGTGGATCATCTGAGGTCGGGAGTTTGAGACCAGACTGACCAACATGGAGAAACTTCGTCTTTACGAAAAACACAAAATTAGCTGGGTGTGTGACGCATGCCTGTAATTCCAGCTACAGGAGGCTGAGGCAGGAGAATCACTTGAACCCGAGAGGCGGAGGTTACGGTGAGCTGAGATCGTGCCATTGCACTCCAACCTGGGCAACAAGAGTGAAACTTGACCACAAAGTTGTCAACAAAAAGTTGAAACTTGACAACAAAAAAGATAACAACAAAAAAATACAAATATTAGCCAGGAATGGTCGCGCAAGCCTGAGGTACCAGCTACTCGGGAGGCGAATCGCTTGAACCCAGGAAGTGGAGGTTGCAGTGAGCTGAGATTACACCACTACACTCCAGCCTGAGCAACAAAGCAAGACTCTGTCTCACAAAAAGACAAAACATAACAAAAACCAGAATACCTATATATTATTTATGAATATATTTTCTTTCTTTCTTTCTTTTTTTTAAGATGGAGTCTTGCTATGTCGCCCGGCTGAAGTGCAGTGGCGCAATCTCAGCTCACTGCAACCTCCACCTCCCAGTTCAAGCAAGTCTCCTGCCTCAGCCTCCCGAGTAGCTGGGATTACAGACACGCCCCACCATACCCGGCTAATTTTTGTATTTTTAGTAGAGACGGGGGTTTCACCAGGTTGGCCAGGATGGTCTCGATCTCTTGACCTTGTGATCCGCCCGCCTCGGCCTCCCAAAGTGCTGGGATTACAGGTGTGAGACACCGTGCCCGGCCAGGATTTATTTTTTTAAGTGGTAAAAATGAGAACATAGTTGGGATGGATACATCCCAACTTCAGGGTGATGCTCATCTCCAACAAAGGAGGCCAAGGAATTTGTATGTCGTGTCAAAGTAAACATAAAATATAAAGAGATGAATTTCTAAATGTAATGGTTTTTTGGGGAAGCAAGAATTGCAATTCAGGACATATTCAGAGACTGGGTGGTCTTTGGTATGTCAGAAGAACAAAGAGAAAATCAAAAGTTTTATTAGAAAGAGAAATGTTACTACTGTTTTGAAAGAATGCTCATTGGTGCCAGTAAACTTTTGGGAAGCTGGGAAGCACTGATTGGTGAGTGATAGGGGTAGGTGAAACCAATCTTAGTCATAGCAGATTGTTTTAGCAACTACTGGGTAAAATTGGTCTTAGAGGTACTGCAGGCTGTTTTAGCAGCTGGGCTGTAAAAAACTTAATTCTTAATCTTTGAGGTGTATGCCCAGATTGCTTTTTCCCCTAGTCCCTCAATTCTGACTTAGTTGGATGTAACAAAAATGATCCAGATTGTATGATCAATTTTCACACCGGGAATGGCTTCAAGATGGTTCCTGCTGAATTTTAAAGTTTTTATTTATTAAAAATATCTGAAACATGACAGTGGGATGTTGAATTTTCATGTTTTTCTTTGTTCATTTATGTATTTTTAAAATAATTCATGATATTGTTTGGTTGTGCTTAAAAGCTTATAATCTATCTTCTGCAAAATGTGACCAAATCATGTAAATTCAGTAGGAAAAAGATGCTGACTGATAAGTTCTTTGTGTATCTCCCTAAGCTGCATGGTATGTATAGTCGTTACCATGGAATATTATGCAGCAATCAGAAATGATGAGTTCGTGTCGTTTGTAGGGACATGGATGAACCTGGAAAACATCATCCTCAGCAAACTGACACAAGAACAGAAAATGAAACACCGCATATTCTCACTCATAGGTGGGTGATGAAAAATGAGAACACATGGACACAGAAAGGGGAGTACTAAACACTGGAGTCTATTGGGGGGAAAAGGGGAGGGCCAGTGGGAGGGGGAGGTGGGGAGGGATAGCCTGGGGAGAAATGCCAAATGTGGGTGAAGGGGAGAAGAAAAGCAAAGCACACTGCCATGTGTGTACCTATGCAACTGTCTTGCATGCTCTGCTCATGTACCCCAAAACCTATAATCCAATAAAAAATTAAAAAAAAGAAGAACTGTAACTATGCCTCCTTTACACACAATACAGTGGTTGTAAATAGATCCTATTAAACAGTCACTTCTGACATACTAGAATCTTTTCTAGGCCCTGGAGACACAAAAATAATTGAAAGGGTCCTAGATATTTTGGAGCTTCTTCTCTGGTAGGGCACACAGGTAGCTTAACAAACATGTAATACAAACCTCAATAAAATTAGAAAGTACAGACATAGCGCATAGGAGGAAATGATTCCTTTCTGGCAATTAGAAAAGATTCCTGGAGTAGGGGACATGTTAATTCTCACTGCCAGATTTAAATTATTTCTTCAGCGAATGTATTTGTCTAGATAAATTTTTACAACAATTATGCTTTATTTCTACAAATCTTAATATTTAGGGCAGGTATAAGAACTCCTTGATTTGAGTGTACTTCGTAGTCAAGGTTGGAATCAGGTTTTGGGGGCTTCGAGATTATACAATCTGAAAGGTCTTTTTAAAGAAGTATATAAAATTATGAATGCAAAATTAGTTAAATATGTTTATAAGGTCCTGTCCAAATGAGGGACTCTGAAGCTTGAATTCATTTGCTTCATGGTAAATCTACGTCAGAGTAGACTATGTGAAAAATATAAATTTATGAAACCTTAATTATAGGGAGGTTGTTCATATCAACAAAATAGTCTTTGCTTTCTAAAATGGTTCAAAAATAATTCTTAAAAAAGTATGTATCCCTGCCTCCCTTCCCTATAGGTTTTTAACATAACTGCATTTTACTGACTTTATTTTAAAATAAGAGACTGAATAATTTTATTTAATTTATAAAAACATACAAGTTGACCAATAATCCCAACATGAACACATTAGAACATTTAGATAATATAAAAAGGTTCATATGAAAAACAAAAGCCTGTTTTTCCTCATTTTCTCAAATTGCTGTCCCTTAAAGCAACGAACATTAACAGATTCTTGTTTCCGTCTAGAAAAAAATTATATGCATGTACTAGTATATACATTTCTATATGTGAATAATTCTATATTTTTACACCGAAAGTTCATTGTTTTACACCACCTTTCCTTTACCTAGTTTTAACCTCAGCAGTCATATAGAAAATTGAATAAAGCATAAATGTCCAGTTAAGCAGTGCTGTGGTTTCAATGTTTGTGTATGTTCCCTCCCAAATTCATTTTGAAACTCAGTCCCCAATGCAATGGTACTAAGAAGTGGGGCTTTTAGGAAGTAGTTAGGCCTCAGGAGTTCCACCCTCATGAATGGGATTAGTGCTCTTCATAAAGGCACTAATAAAGAGATAGAGGGGGAGGATTTACCCCCTTCCATTGTTTCCACCATATGAGGATGCAGCAAAAGGCATGAGCTTGGAAGCACAGAGCTGTCTCCACCAGACACCAAGATCAAACCTTGATCTTGAAATTCTCAGCCTCCAGAACCTTGAGAAAATAAATTTCTGGTTTTTGTGAATTACCCAGTCTCAACTATTTTGTTAGAGTGACACAAATGAACTGAGACAAGCAGTTATGATAAAACACACGCCCATATAGCTGCTACCCAGGTCAGGAAACAGAACATTGCCAAAAGGGCCAGCTTCACAGACTTGGAGTGACACAGGGCCCCAAGCCCAGAAGCCAACACTCTCTACTCTCCTACTCTTCCATTCTGCTTGAGGTTTAATGCCCTGCAATCACCATCATGTAATTATTAATAATTTTATCTTTGAATTTGTGTTTTATAAGTGAAGGATCAATGGGACAAGGCATTGGTTCAGGCAACATGGGCCTCTTGCCACGCCACCTTCCTTCCTCCCCAGAACGAGTTCTGGCTGCTCATTCTCTCCACTCCACCCCACCCCACCTCACCCCACCCTCTACTCTGGCAGTGGTTGAGCAGGAGGTACAGGGCAGGAAGTGTCTGATTGAGGTATAGGATCCTCTCCATTTCCTCTGAAACAGGGGTCAGGCCCCTAGCTCCTATGAGGGTCAGTTTGGGAGTGCCACATTAAAAAGCAATTAAGAAAACACCATGGGAGGAGGAGAGAGAGGGAGGGAGAGAAAAAAGATGTTTGTTCTGGACCCCACAAATTATGTAGCTGGCCCTGACTGACAACACGCCAGAAAGCCACCACCTGCCCCTTCATCATAAACCCCATCTCCCAGCTAGCAGGAGCAGCTATCTTGACTTTTATTGTATTTCTTACCTTGTTTTTCATTATAATTTTGCCACATAGTTCTTCAACTCTTTTTTTTTTAAGTTTTGCTTGTTTTTGAACTTTATATAAGTAGGCTTATATACTTTATATTGTTTTCTTTGGGTTCATTCACTCTGTTTTTCAAAGGTCTACTTGTATGTAGTTTAATTCTCTCTCTTCATTATGGTATGAATAAACTAAAATTTGTTCATTCCGTTGTTGATGGACATATGGGTTGTTTCCAGTTTAAGGCTATTAAAAGCAATGTTGCCCTGAACATTCTTATTCTTGTACGTGTATCCTGATATATATATGACTGCATGTCAGCAAGATATATATGTTGTTAAGAGGGAGTGAGAACTTCCAGCTCCTTGCTTATATATATAAACAGAATTGCTGAGTTTTAAGGTAGGCATAGCTTCCACTTTGCTAGCTCTTCCAAACTTTTACTCTTCCATAATCAATATATGAGAGTTCTGTATCTTTCCCTACCATTTAATATTGTTATACTTTCTAAAAAGATCAAATAGGTATGTGTGGCATCTCATGGTGGTTTTAATTTGAACATTCTTAGTTACTAATGAGATTATTTATTAATTGGTCTTTTGGATATCCTGTTTGGAAGTTCATATTTAGGTCTGTTACCTATTTTTCTATTGGGATTGTGTCTTTTCTGCTGATTTGTAGTAATTCTTTGTGTTTTCTGAATAACAGCCTTTTCACAATTTTACATATTGCAGACATCTTTTCCTATTTAATAATTTGCCCTTTGACTCTGCAGTGGCAACTTTTGTTCAAAGTCCTTTAATGAGGAAAAAAATGTATCTATCTTTTCTTTTCTGGCTGATGATTTTTGTGACTTAAGTAATAGTTCCTTATCCCCAAATCATGAAGATATTTTTCTACATTATCTTCTAAAACCTTCATTGTATTGCCTTCCCATTTAAGGTTATTGTTGATTTTTGTGCACAGTGGTTGAGGTACAATTTTATTTTGTATATGCTACCCATTTGACCAAGTACCATTCACTGGGAAATCCATCCATATCCCATTCTTTAGAGTGTCACCTTTGTCATAAATCAAGTATGTATATATATGTATAGGTCTGTTTCTGAACCCTAGCCTTTCCATTGTTCTTTGCCAAGTCCACACTATTAATTATAAAAGTCTTTTAGAAAAGTTTTGATAACCCAGAAGTATAGATCTTCTACCTTATTTTTGTTTCTTCAAAAGACAGACATGGTTATTCTGGACCCTTTGTATTTTCTTATACATTTTAGAATCAGCTTAAATTCCAGAAAAAAGAAAAACCAACCAAATGAACAATAAAAAACCTTTTTTGGCTTTTGGATGATATTGCATCAAATCCATACATTAACCTGAGAGACGAGAGACCTCTTCAACATTGAGCCTTCCAATCATGATTGTCAATTCATTTAGGTCTTCCGTAATGTTTCTTAACAGAATTTTATTTGTTACTTTGCAGAAGTTTCACTGATCTTTCAATAGATCTCTTTATATGTATTTGATATTTCTGACAATATTGTAAATAGCATCTTTTAAATATTTCATGTTCCTTTTTTGTTGTTTATATATATGTAAAATAAACTAATTTTTCCAAACTAATTTTCATATCCAGCAACCCTACTAAAATTTCTTATCCATAAAAATATAAATGTATATTTATGTGGGTTGTCAATGTACTCAGTCATACCATTTTCAAATAATGAGTTTTTGTTACTTCATTTCTTATTCCTTTTTTTCTTTTGCTACTACAGGGTCAGGACTCTAGAACAACATTAAAATAAGTGGTATTAGTGGACAAAAATGTCTCATTTCCAGTTTCAAAAGAAAGGCTTTCAATGTTTCACTATGTATCACATCTGATACAGATTTTTTGTTTTTCATCTAAGTTTTATGCCATTTACATGTTCATAACATCCTCATGTTTTTAAGGTGCACAAGATCTAAACCAGTGCCCCCTCTTCATTCTTGGTATCAATTATTAGTGCCTTTTCTCTTTTGTTAATCAGTATCACCAGTGTTCTATCAATTTTATTAGACTTTTCAGAGGAACTACTTGAGTTTTGTACATAGTTTTTATTGTATTTTTTCTATTTAAATTATTCTATTTTCTTTTTTATTTCTACTTTCTATTGTGCTGTCTTTTGCTAACTTCTTTACAAATATGTACATAAAAAGCTATACATTTCTCCATCAATACGGTTTCAACTGCATCACACAACTCTTGATATGTAGTATTACCATTGAATTTAAAACATCATCTAATATCTCTATGATTTTTTGATGCATAGATTTAAAAGTACGTTTATCCTTTCCTTCCTTCCTCCCTCTGTCCTTCCTTCCTTTTCTTCCTTCCTTTGTTCTTTTCCTTTTCTATTTTTATCTTTTTCTTTCTTTCCTTTCTCTCTCTCTCCCCGACCCCGTCCTTTCTTCCCTCCCTCCATCTTTCTTTCTTTCTTTTCTTTTCTTTCTTTTGAGATAGGGTCTCACTCTGTTGCCCAGGCAGGAGTGCCGTGGCACTATCACTGCTCACTGCAGCTTCAACCTCCCCAGGCTCAGGTGATTCTCCCACCGTAGCCTCCTAAATAGCTGGGACTACAGGTGCAGAC